AACTGTTGCATGTTAAGACAGGCCAAGCTCACAAGCAGCATACAGCTGCAGTGATAAAACAAAACTGCAGCTTCTGTTCTGGTCTTGACAGAGCAGATGGGAGTCTGATTTTTTCAAAATACTATCTGTACACAAAACTCTGTTCAAAGGGCTTTATATTGAAAAGGTAAAATTTCTCTTATTACTCTACCTGTAGGGTATGACTAAGAGAAGAAGTTTGTCCCCTTTCAAGATACCCGGTCTTTGTTAGTTAGCTGGCACCCAGAAGGGTGTAATACATTCATAGCCAGTGCACATTCAGAGCTTGCAAAAGTGTTGCAGAAGAGCAAGAGTAAGCTGATATAATGCAGACTGCACTCTGCCTCTCTTCTGAGAGTCTCTAAGGACACTGGGAAATGAAAAGGTCTTTGTGCTTGTACCACCTCCACTTTATAAAGTGCACAATAGTACATGACATATTACTCCCACTTCAACTTTTCGCAGTGGAGCCTAATTTTTAATCCTCCTTTCACTACAAACCACTGAGGTATTCTCTATTAAAAAAAAAAAAAGCATTCAGACTTTATGGCTCTTCATTCTGCAGTCCAGAAGGGCCTAGACTGTGACTCTTAGGCTAATATCCTGGCCAGCTGTACAATACAGTGCCTTTGCAGTTGTAAAATTTCCTCTCTCCTGCTACAGAGCAGGCACAGGTGACATAAAGTATTCTAAATGCGCTATACATTAGGCAGAAGGATACGCCATGCCATATGGCCATGCTAAAGTAGAACTTTCCTTGATCATGTTTTCTGTCAGATCTAGTGGGCTTCAATCAGGAATTGTCCACTGCAGTGATACACTCTGCTTCGTGTGAACACATACATCCCATATTTGTCCCTTTCAAAGTATTACATTCCAGTAATACTCAGATATCCCTGCTGGATTTGGTACTCATCTATCAGCTCATTTATTATGGTAGGAAATAAAGAGAAACTTTGAACAAAATCAAGATCTTGGGGGGAGGAAACAACACAAAACAAACAAAATCCTTTAGGAATGACATCACACTACTTTAGTATGCATGAGTACTGAATACAATACTTCTTTCCTAGATAAAATGCAAAATCCGTATAAAATGAGAGCAGATTTGTGACTAGTATGAAAGGCAGATCCAACAGGATTCTCTCATGTTCCCATGAGAAAATTATTAACAAATAGATTCATATTTCTAGTCATCCAGCAAAGTTAGTCTCTGTCTCCCTGGAGCTAAAGTAGACTAAATTATACTTAATGTGAAAGATGCTTTCTCCAGAAAAACTTCTCAGTCCTCACAGTTTTATTTGAAGAATCAAATTAATAATAAAAGAAAAAAAATTAAGAACTATCATTAAACTGCTATTGAAGAAGTCATTTCAGGATGCAGCTCATCTTCTGAAGTATATTATTATTTATTACTTATGACAAATAGTACATAGGCATATCACGTACCTTCCTCTGGAGGATGAAAATCTGACTGTATATTCTTGGGCATTAGCTAGAATTAATAACTGGGGTTAATAAAGTAAATCCATCTCAAGGAGTTTCTCAGTGAGGGTATTCATAATAATATGAATAATTCATATTCATTCTTGTGGTATTCACAGAAAAGAAAAAAAAAAAAAGATAGTATGTGCAGTGTTCAATGAATCCTACTAACAATAATTAGCAACAGTGGAGACAGAACACAAACTATTATCCCAAACTCAGTCATAAAGAAATCTAATACTGGTAGCCTAGTCATACTGTATTATTTACAAACCAGAGATTAGTTGTTTTCTCTGTAATTATCTGTCTATATCAGCTAGACCAGAAAAACAGCTGAACATTCAGAAACATTTAGAACAGGCAAAAAAAAAAAAAAAATTATTATATCACAAATGTAGAGTGCTATAATTCATGAAAATATGTGATGTCTATTGTTTTTCTAAGATACTGATATTAAATTGAGCTACATTGTCAAAACTCTAATTTAACATGAAACAATATTGAATTTACCAAAGTGGATTTTTTAGTCAATTTAAGATTATACAACGTTGATGAACATTGAAAGCACAGGTACATGGGTCCAGAATAAAAAGCTGTATAAGCTAATATATCAGCTGTTTATATAAGGAAAAAAATGATCTGCAATAACTGAAGTACCTGTTCATAAACTTATTCAACATAATCCTCTGAAAGTTTGTGAATGCATAATTATCAATGGCTTAGAATTGAAGTGTTCCAAGTTTTTAAAGTGCAATAAACTTGTTATAACTGATTCTTACACAGGCTCCTTACAATTGTAACAATTTGGCAAAGTACAGAATGCTCGTTCAAATTAAGAGGTGACATTTTTGTTATCTATGAGTAGCCCAACAGCTTTTTATTTCTCATAACAGTAAATCAGCATCTTCTCTATTTTTCCCAAATGGAACACAGCATTCACAGGAAGGTTGTGCTGTTTGTTTTGTTTTTTTAAAGTCTGCAGGGCAGCACAAACCAAAAATCTTACATGCATTTCTATGACAAAATAATTACCTTAACTTTGACAAATTCATGTAAAATGTATATATTTTTTAAATATATAAAAACCTTTCCTTTCAAACAACACTGCAAGGTAGGAAATAAAAGGTAATTACCCCATAACTGTATGACAGTAATTTATTAGAAATATTACTGCTGTATTTCGACATTATATGTAGTTTCCCTGACAGGAAAATTTCCTTCACTGGAAATAAAATTATATACATATGTAGACTTGTCATGAGCATGTAGGGTTGACTAAGTAGAGCAGCTTTCCATTTCTTCTTCTACTGGACATGTTGTATTCCTGTTTAGAGATCACTGGTGTAGAAATGATGTGGGAAGAGCAAGAACTCAAACACACAAGCCAGATTTTCTCCCATCTGCCGTCCTGTCTCACAGTTTGTTTAGTGACCTAAGGAAGGTCCATTCCAGTTCAAGCCTGGTCCCTTTGGAGGTTTAGCACTTCTGTGGGTTCCTGTGTTACTCCCCAGCTTTCCTCCTGTTGCGTCAAAAAATAATTCAGGAAGGAGTGAAGAGAGAAAGGCACGGCTTCACAAGGTTCACTGAGCTTCTGGCTTTGACCCTTTCAGGCTGTTTGCAACTCAGGGGACAAGGGTGCCTAAATATTGGAAAAGGGGGACAGCCAGCCCAGAGTTTTAAAAAAAAAAAAAAAAAATGCAAAAATAAGCTCTTCCCATGGTACTCAAGCAAGGATGGGGCATAGAACATTCTCTGTGACTCAGTCTCAGTCTCCCTGCCTCCTATGCGGGGCTAATGAAGAATTGAGGCTTTGACCAAAGTAGACAATTTGGATACTTTGTCCGAGGATACAAAGTACAACAGAGAATTAAAAAATATATATATATTATTATGCAAGGCTGAACATAGGCAACAACCACCAATACAGATTAGCTACTTCTCCAACAGATTACAGATAATTTTTATTAATGTTTCTTCTAACATTGAGAAATAAACTATTTTGTTAGGTGGCAAATGTGCCTTTACATATAGGTATGTGCTAGAACTTATCTATCATTCAAACTATTTTTTCAGCATCTGTATTTATGGTATTTGCTTGGCAGTTAAAGAGAAAATAAACTTTTACCAAACTGAAATACCATTTTAAGAAACTTACTTAAGTAACAAGCATCCCAATAGTCTCAAAATATCACATGTGTGAGAGGAAGGAGGCTAAGTTGAATTTCATGAAGTCTTAATTCCTGTTTTTGTTGCTCCACATTTGGTATGGAAAGAAGAGCTACACGGGATTTCCAGAGACACGAAAGGCATGGGGTTTTAATTCAAAAGTTTGCTCTTACAGGACCAAAAAGAAAGATCTTCATGTATATCATGAAGTTTTGTAATTTCACTTAACCATCCTTAGCAGATCTATCACTGTACTTGGAGAGGGAGAAAAAGATTTTGGAATAAAACTAATGGCTCTAGACCTGTGATGACTCTACCTACTTACCCCAGCTGGACTGTTGCATCTTTTCTTCTTCAGTTATTAATCTTATGAGTTAAGGATTTTATTTGTTAATATACTGTTCCAAACAGACAAATCTTTTATAAGGTTGGATATTTTAGATCAAATACTGAAGTTAAAAAAAAAAAAAAAAAAAGAAAAAGAAAGAAAGAAAAAAAAAAAAGTCTTATAAATTAACAAGGGTTCTTTTCCCAGAAATCACATGCAAGAATCAAGACAAAGAAATGCTTGATGGATTTAACACATATCCACAGTATTAATAATATTGTCATAAATTCTTGAAACAATATAGTCTTTTCAGCAGGTCTTGAAATGACTGAAAGTTTCTTTAAAATTAAAGAAACCATGTAGGCACTCACTGCTATAGGTTGGTAAATTCATACAAACTAGTAAGATTGATCCAAGGACTTAAGCTTGGTTTGCATTGGAAGGGACCTTAAAGCCCATCCAGTTCCAATCCTCCCGCCATTGGCAGGGACACTTTCCATTAGACCAGGTTGCCCAAAGCCCCATCCAGCCTGGCCTTAAACAGCTCCAGGGATGGGGCATCCACAGCTTTTCTGGGAAGCCTGTTCCTGTGCCTCGGCACCCTTATAAAGATATCACATCTGCTTTCAAAGACGGTAAACATTGAACATTACCAGTCCCTCCAAAAGGCACTGAGATATCCCATCCAAATCAGATTGGAACAATTTAATAAAATAGCACTCTTTAGTCTTTACTTACCACCACACAGCTGCAAGTCAATGATTGCTTGGCCAAAACATAGAGAGGTCACCATAAATCATCCACTGCTGGAATGACTATTCTGGTGTGGCAGGTTACTGCCCATAGGGCTGCTGGTTCACACACCTCTGCACAAGGCTACCACCAGCACAGCATCCCGCATCTCCATCAGTGAACAGACAGAGATCACCAGCAGCTCCATAGCATGTGACAGAATAAACTTCATCCTCCCAAGTTTTTGAACAAAACAGAAAGAAACACAAGATTGGGTACAGCATCCAAAGAGCATTATTTTTAATATCAAGAAAAAAATATATTCCTGTGCTGGATGAGTCAAGCCTTTATTGCTAAACCAGCTTAAATTAAAGAAGGTGGCAAACTGCTATACTCTAACCAGTGAAAACACAAAATCAGTTTCACAAATGATTTCTCAGCATTCCAGTTATAGCAAGCAGGAGATTCAGAAAAACTTATTTTAATAAAAACTTTATTTTTCATTACAATTCACAGTTTATACATGGCAAGATGAACTCTTGCCATGTGGACATTCAGAACACTGTGCTGGGGAGACAAGGGTCTTTGTTATAAGAGCATTGCTCGGTGCTGTTTCATGGAACTTCTTAAATTTTAAAAGCGTACTCTCTGTAAATGTTAACTGACTGATATTTACACTGAATTGACTGAATTTACATATTAACTTATATTTATTAGAAAACAAGCTAAGCATCCAAAAACATTAACATTCATATCTTGCATGTTATCTAATGGTCAGAGATGCTGTAAGATTTGCCACTTGAATCATGCCCAATCAGCAAAGCCTTGTTTTTGTGTTTTGCTTTTTTTGATTTTTTTTTGTTTGTTTTGTTTTAATTTTCACAGAGCCTAAATTATTCTTTAAGGCCTGTTCAATTCATTTTATGTACAGCCAGGTTACAATAGACTAACATAAGAAAAGAATGTAAAATTATCCATTCCATCCTGCATTTCTTCTGAATCTCATGTACACCTATAAGCAAAATAGAGGACGTAAAATCAAAGTTAACGTGTTTTCTTAAAACCAGTAAACAAAACCCAGAGTCTGGTTTAGATCTGCTTCTTGTCAGCCTACCCTTTCCGAACAATCATCAGTATTCAGGTTGTGCTATTTATCAGCTCTTCTTCATGCCTGCACTTATATTCAGAGCCATCTCTTTTTGAAATGTACAAAGTCACAGTGATACCAGTTTCGATTGCATTCCCACGTTAGTCACAGCTCCGGCACAGACAGCCACTGTACAGTGTGACATTCAGGAAAGCACTCCAGCAGGATTCCTGTGTAAAATATCATATGGCATCTGGTGCGACTTGACTTAAAGAGGAAGTTAAGAATCATCGTCACAGAGCAAATATCTGGCAGAAGGTTTATGCTTCTTAAAAAACACTTTTTTTTCTGCATTGTTTTCTGAATGTGGTTATTAGAATACAGCAATTAAAAGCCTATCCTGCCTCTCCTTAAAAAAGCCATATTTATTTGCTTGTCAGCCACCAAATAACTTAGTGATTGATAAGCTGCAGATTTATTTATTTTTATTTTTTTGGTACATCTGACACAGAGAAAAAACTGCTTGAAAAACACTGCTTGAAAAAAGACCAAATAGGGTCTGCAAATTCTACAAGTCAGTGTGAACAAGTATCATCTGGACCTGAGTAAAACAAAATGCTTCTGGGGGACATGTTTGAAACTTCTGAGACTGCAGTGCCTTTAAATTTGGAGCTAAGAACATCATTTGATGATTGTTGAGTTTTGGCATTCATTGATGCTGGTTGGTATCTTCAATACAGACACCTTTAAAACACCATCATTTCAGGAAGAATGAAAGCTCAAAGGAAATACACTTCTCAAAAAAAAAAAAAAAAAGAAAAAAAACACACAAACAAAAACCATACAGGAAGTGTAGAGGTTCTGGTTCTTCAAAAGATAAGGCACTGACAAAAATTTCTTAGGTAAAAGGCTGCATAAGAATTTCTTGCCATTTACAAATGTGTTGTAGTCCATATATGGTCCATTCCTAGGCTCAGTAAGGTAGACCCTGAAATTTTAAGGACTGATCCCTCAAAGCTACATTGTTACCATAAACAAGTGTGATTCATTCTTTAGGCCATATGGCACGTTAGGAGAAGTGAAAAACAGTCTGGGCAGATAAAGGCAGAAGACGTTGCTTGTTCCAGCATCTTTTGATAACAGAAGTGCCATTCATCTTTGTGTCTTTGAAGAGATGTGATGGTAACTTGGGACTGTAGTTTCTGTGGAACTCATGCACACATATAAAATGCTATTAGCTTTGATCATTGACAGGGTGGAGAAAAAAAGGTATATGGCTAGTCTAAGCCAAGAGCTTCTCATGGGGTGGGATCCAAAGTCACAGCTGCTTAATATTTTCAATAACGGCTATCTCTTCTGCTGCACAGTGCGGTGTCAAACCATTCATATAAATGCTGTCCGTCTTTGTAAGAGCTGGCAAGATGTCCTTCTCACTGGTGAGATGGTTGACTGACAGGGTTCTCTTGCAAGGAGTCAGATCTTGATTGTGGTTGACAGCAAGTTCAGCGGAGAGCTTTCTTTTGATGGAGGTAGCCCGCTGGAACTTGTCGTAGATCTCCACACTGAGACGCCTTCGCGTTTCTTTGAACTCTGCGGTGACATTGGCCGTCCACTCCGCAGCATGGGCTCTGAATTCCCCTACCTGCAGCAAAAATGAGAAGAAAAAAAAAAAAGCATAACCTGGCTAAGCACATTAAAGACCATGTAGGCTTGAAAGCCCGGTGAGCCCAATGTGTCTCTGGGCTGGCAGAGCTGCTGCAGTTGGTACAGATTTCTCATCCCACAGACTTGTTTCTTTATTGACAGCAACTAAACAAGAAAAAATGATGCACTGGGAAGAGTTAACAGCAATTCTAAAAAAAAAAAAAAATAATACATTAAATATATATATATATATATATATGTATTTTCTGCTGAAGTTTGTTATTGAATTATAGGCAGCAAAGAACAACAAGATGCTCTGGAGCCCTGGCAGCTGCACAGTATCCAGCTGGTCAGGGGATGCTGAAATCCCAGCAATCCAGGCTGTGCTATGTATTGCTACCAGGGTGCAGGGTTATTTATGAGCACTTCTACTGTCTGCAGAAAGATCCCTAGGAGACTTGGCAAAGAATTTTCTAAATTTAGACAGAAAAGCTTTTATAAATGAAAGCATCAGCTGCTGGTATTCTCTTTGTTTGTTGGTTTTTTTTTTTTTTTTTGCTTGCTTGAACACAGTGCCAGTACAGTGACAGCTTCATGTCAGCAACATGTCTGCTTACCACCCCGACTCCTCTGAAGTGATATGCTAAAACAACTCACACACAATGGCAGTGTGGGACTCCTGGAGCTGTCACCATTTACACCCAGAGTAAATGGAGGCCGCCAGTCAGCACACGGGGCTGTGGTACAGTTACCATACAGCTGGAGGGTGGCATTTCCCTTCTCGTGCACAGATCTCCAGACAAGTTGGCTTGGTTGCAAGGTGCTAGGTTTGCACAACCATTATCTTTTCATGTATGTATACATTTGAGTAATCTGCTCTAGTGTGAGGTGTCCCTGCCCATGGCAGCAGGTCAGAACTGGATGGTCTTTAAGGTCCCTTCCAACCCAAACTATTCTGTGACTCTGTGCATGTACATCCCTGCCACACACTTACATCCTGTTCCCTCACTCTATGTATCTTTTCTATAGAGCCTGTCAATATAACAGGCACTATCATTAAAAACTACCAATTTTTCATTAAACTTTCATCAAAACTACCATTTTATTTTTTTTATTTTTTTTTTTACCCTTTAAGTTTCCTTTCCACCATTTCTGTGTTTCAGTATTGGGAAAAATCCTATAAGCTCAAACTCTGAGACTACTGCTGAGGGAGGCAGCACAGACTCAGATTACCCTCATCATCCTTGGACAGATCATGAGACAGACTTGGCAGCTTACCCCTATAACAGTCTGAGGTGAACTATGGCCTTGTAATTTATATGCTATTTATATTTTTGCTCTTGTATTTCAACCAAAGCACCATTACAATATCAAGTTATATAGGTAATTAAAGGAGGCACATTTTGAGGAGATTATCTTGTTATAAGGGCTAAGGAAATAGATTGTTTTTCTTTAAATCTTGTCTCTGTGGGCAGCTTATTAATTGGAAGGTATAGCATAGGGAAGATAGACTGCTGATAAATATAACTCCAAAGCAAGGCATTTTAGAAGAATTAACCCACTTAAATAAATTAGTCTAATTGGTACTGCTCAGTCCAGAATTTCAATCATTGGCAAGTAAGCTTGGACTTGGCAAGCACAGAAATCAAATAAAAATTAACAAAGAGAAATACGGGGGGGTAAGCTAGCAGAGAAAAGTGGCCAAAGGCTTATTCATGCTTTAGAGTACAGTGGAAAACAGGAATATAATGAAAGTAAAAAATAATCAGCTCACTCAGGAGTGACAAGGTCTCAGGAAAACTTCCCCCCTCCAGAAACAAAACAAAAACTCTCTTTACCCAGAGGTCATTTTTTTTACATTTGTCTCAGCTTCAATGAATTATACCGTTGACTAATGTGGACCCATTATGTATATTTTCTAAAACAAGGATTATTATCTGTAATACACAGAGGATTTGCTCAGCTGAATGATTATTAGTATTTAAATTGCGCAATTAGGATCAGACACACTGCACTTCAGATCTGAAAATAATGTAATCTGTACTGCTGAAACATTTCAACTGCTACAATATTTTTATTTGTAGTAAACAAGTAATAAAAATATGATAAGAAGTATCAGTTCACACCCTAGGGCAGCTCTGTCCTCCTCCAAATCTTGTATAAAGGCAGGCTGCTCAGATTCTGGACCATGCTACTGGCCGGGGGAGCAATTAGCCAGTATATGGGTTTCTATTCTACCCAGCATATTTGTAGCTTTCACCAGTTGTGTAAGCATTCCAGTTATTTTGCTCATATACACACCTCTGCCATTTCACAGTCACATTCAATGGATTTTATCAGATTAGTAGTTTTAAAATTGTGTCTTGGCAACCTACTGGAAGCCGCAAGCATCTTGAACTGCCTCCCTCTAACCTTTTTAACCTGCCTTTTAATAGTTTTCTGTTTCTGCTTCTCTCATGTTCTCCCAGCAAAGAAAAAACAGCTAGCCATGCTTCTGACAATAGCAAGTACATGTAACCTTTAGTACATGCTCCGAATTACCCCACCAGTCCCCCTCACCACATGCTGGTGATGGAGCTGTCTTGCACAGGCAGTGTAACTCATGCATGTTAGTTATTCTGGAGAATTTTCAAACTGTAGTTGTTAGGATATTTAATTACTAAGTTCTAATTAGATTTCTTTAGGGAAGCAAATATATGCAGCTAGATGAAAAACATCATTAGATATGCCTTTTGGAGACAGACTCATGTTCTAATTAAGGTGATATGGAACATGAACATGGTGGTCTCAATCATATCTGTCCGTATACCAGAGCTATGATGCTGCTTGGCACAATTTCAGCTTTATATTAAAATCATTGAAAACATTGAAAAATGTTGTGCTGTTGCTAAGCAGAATTGAAATACATTAATAGTAAATCAGAGGTAATTGGCACAGCAGGAGAAACTAGAAGTTCAGTGCTGTGTGAACTCTGTGTACCCCAAATTATTGCTTTGCTTTTGTGTGAACTGAAATGCACTCAAAATGTTATGTTTTCAGAATAAAACTCTCAATTCCATAGCACTTACAGATTCAAGTACAAAAGGTTACAGAAAAAGAAATGTGCAGTTTTCAACTGCCAGTGAACATAAGCAACTTGCTCTCAAAATTTGATCCTCCCTTTATCCATATGGACATTTCTGTTTATGGTCAGGTTCTTTCTGTCCTTAGGGTATGACATTTCTTCATACCGCATTATAGCTCCTCTTCATCTGGGCACTGACAGCCACAAAATCTTTTATGCAAAGCGATTGAAATGCCAGTTGCCTATGCTGCTCAAAAAAATCTCTACATACCTTCTGTAACATTTATTTACTTTTCTCAAATTCTCTTACCTCATTACAGCACACAACTTCAGATTCTGCAGTACCTGAAGGACCCTTTCCACTGGGTAGCTTTCCAGCCACTCTTCCCCCTGCAGCCTGTAATGCTGCTTGGGGTTGTTGTGTCCCAAGTACAGGACCTGCACAAGACCAGCACTTGGCCTTGTTGAACCTCATGCAGTTGGCCTTATACCATCAGTCCAGCCTATCCAGATCCCTCTTCAGAGCCCTTCTGTCATTGAGCAGATCAACACTCATGCCTAACTTGGTGTTGTCTGCAAACTGAGGGTGCATTTGATTCCCTCATCCAGAACATTAATAAAGGTATTGAAGAGAACTGTCCCCAGTACTGAGTCCTGGGGGGACACCACTAGTGACAGGCCTCCAACCGGATTTAACTCCATTCACTGCAACTCTTTGGGCGCAGCCACCCAGTCAGCTTTTTAATTTCACAATTTTTCAACCAGTATACGGTGGAAACAGTATCTGAGCAATTTTGAAGTGTGGCTTCTCATTCCTGTTAAAGTCAGTATAAAAAAAAATAAATAAAACTATACACCAAAAATACTGTATGAACTTTCTGAATGATGAAACAGTTCCTGGACTCTGCAGATACCTTATCAACAATATTACCTAAACATGGACATCCTGAATTTAATGGGCCTAGGAAAAAACATGGACATTAAGTAATCACTCGTTCTCCTGTTCCTGACAAAAAATATCTGAATACCAACATAAAATTGGTGCAGGTCTCTCAGCCAGTACCACGGGTGAGACCAGCACCTTCCCTATTGATTTTCATTACCATGTTTTAGATTTCTTGTTTTCTAGCCGAGCTCAGATCTTGGATAGAGGCCAATCACATAATCCTGAATGTAAGCATGCCCAAGGGGATGCTACTGCTAAAAGAAAAAAAAAATATTTGAAGGTACTGAAGAACATGACTTGTTCTTCATTACGTTTACTCTAATTCCTTATATTTATCAGGAATTTGAGGACCTTTCTGGACATGCTCTGAACAGATAACCAAATAATTATACAAACAGAACTGCCCAACATGCAGGAAGACTGCTCATCCTATTAAGTATGGTCTGGACAGCACAAGTCATGTAGCCATAACCTTTACATATGAGTAGTCTGCGCTTTGAATTAAGTCACAGCTGTGGTCAATAAAATAAAATAAAATTGAAACAAACAAGCAAACAGAGAAGGACCTCCTTAAATAGACTGAAGAACACACTGTTCTGACTTTGCCTTAGTTTGCTTCTCTCTCTCAGGGTCATTCTTGAAAAATTCCAATGTTGAAGTATAACCAGTTAATCTTCTGCTGTTTACAGAAAGGGAAGATATCATTGCCTGGATAGAATTCAGAGATATGATATGAAAGATATGCCTAGGAGGAGCTATACCATTAAGTACTAAACAAAACATAGACATTACACACACTGTGCAAGAAAATGATACTATATGTATTTCTAAATGAAGTGTGTAGTTTACTTGATATCTGTACCTTTATGTTGTTTCCTTTGGTATGCAGGGCTCATACACTTTATGATGGTCATACTGCTAGTGCAAACCAAAAAAAATCAATTAAAAATTACCAGATGATATACCTCGGACTGCATTTTAGGAGGGG